TGAGAAATTTTTAAATTGCTGGAACTTAAACATCAGAATCTATTTCTTCTGCATTGTAAAACTACTGATGTCTCTAATAAATTATTTTCCAGCCTGATTCCTAAAATGTATAATAGAAATACAAGTTTCAATATTTTCTTCCCATACCAATGATGTGGCAAAATGATTCTGAAAAAACAATTATATCACTATAATTGAAACCCTGAAAAAACAATTATATCACTAATTTTCTCAAAGTCCTTCTCTTATCTCCAACTTGAAAGGATGAGAACAGAGAACTGAGGAACACACGGCTTTGATATGGGAGAGTAGGGGGTAGAAACACCACACTAAAAAAAATTCTTTTGCCTAACTCAGGTTGGCAGTAATTTGATTCTAGATAGATAATTCATTTTCTATTATTTGCTTATTTAAAAAAAACCTTTAGGGTGTTACTCTTCATAGTTCAACAAGTCATAATACCTGTTTTCTTTCGTTGTAAAATATTTGCATAATTTGTAAATGAAGCCTTGGATGGCAAGGAACAGGGACTCACTAAAGGCAAACAAGGAAACGAATGGAGTAGGGATGATCACAGGAAACAAAAATCTCACAAAACAAAAAGGAAATGAAGTTTATTTAAGTATGACCTTATGAGGAGAATAGTGTAAGGAAGGAAAAACACTTTTCCTCTATCCTCCTAGGTTCAATGTCTGAGAATGAAACTGATAAAAGACAGACTGACAAGAGAAAAAACATTTAATTACATATGTACACAAAAGCTTCACAAAGAAATGTGACTCAAGGAGGCAATTAGAATATTTGGCCGATATCGTCTTAACAGAAGTGATAAAGTGTGAAGAGGCTACACAAAGGAAAGGGGGTATGGGGCTTCCTGTGGAGAACAGAGTTGAGGCGGGAAGTTATGGAAAGGTGCTAGGAAACATCTAAGTAAGGGTTGTCTATTAAGGTGTGTTATGTGCATAAGTGTCCTCTCCAGTAATAAGAGTCATTTCCAAGTAGATCCTTTCCTGGTAGTAGAGAGGGAGACAACTTTACAAATAGAAAGTAATGGCCTACTTTTAGACAGAAAAGCAGAAGGGAAAGAGTTTTTCTTGCATCTGCTGTTTCTCAATTGCTTTCAGCTCAAAATATTCCTTATGCCAAAATGGCACATTCTGGGGTAGGCATATTGTTGTCCCATCAATAGGAACCCAGAAAACATCAGGACCAAGACAGTGCTCTCTCTGGTTCACTTGTCCTCTCAATTTCAAATTCCCTGGGAAATAATCTGATTGGCATCATTACCAGTTAGGGGGCAATGGGTTGGCTACATGGGTCAGGTCTCCACCGGGGCCGATGCCATGCCAGGTGCATTGTTATGAGGTGTGCAGGGCTGCCTCCTTCAAGGGCTGTGGATATACGTACTAGGAAGCATGACGATTACACATACCAGATGTTTGATGCCATTCTGATTTTATGAAGTTGTTAAAATCTCATGACCCCACTGTTTTCCAAGAGACAGAACAACCTAGAAGTTTCATACACCAAAAAAAAGTAACCCTTATTTAACTTGCTTAGCAAAGCTGAGTTTCAAAACCTCTATTCTGCTCTATCATACTTTATCTGATTTTTCCGCATTGAACAGCTAATCCTAACTTTTCCTGATTCTCTCCCAACATCCTGATTCCAATTTTTTATTATTCAAAGTCAAGTTCTTCCAAGAACTAAACAAAGGACTACTAAATATTGGCTTTTCTTAGTGTGGGAGGTGTTTCAGTAGTTTAAGGCAGTGAGGGACACAGTCATGACCACGATGTGGATCCTATCTGTCAGGGGGAAAGGCTCACACAAAAATAACCACAACATGGGACAGAGTATCAAGGGTCACAATACAGTAAGAAAGAACTCACCCTCTCAAGAATGGGGAGGGCCAGGAAACTTTCAGAAAGTTTTTACAGGTAATTATTAGGCAGAGTCATGGGAGGATTTGCATAATATATTCAGAGGATGGGGATGGGATGGGGCTCAGCCAATCCTGAAACCACCATAGCCACCTGAGCAGAACTATTATTAAGCCCTAGCAACCCTTCTCAGGACCCGCTTATTCCACCACTCTCTTTCCCTCCTTTGCCACCCACCTCTGTTTTAACATTCCTCTTTAAAAAGAAAACCCCAAAATTATCATATTGGTGTACTTTTTGAAGATTTTATCTTTACCTCCCCCACTCCTCCATAGACATCCAGATATGACAAGAGACTCAGTGTTCCTGCTTCCTCCTATTCCTTGCTGCCTCTGCTATGCTTCTTAGGGAATTTACCACTAATTTTTATGGGATAATACGAAAATAATAAACATTGGAAAGTTACAAAGTTTTCATAATCTTAAAAGTTTCAGGTTGACTTCTTTCTGAGCTGGTAATTGAAAAGTTGTTCGAATTTCTGCTGTTTACTTTTGTTCTTGAGGGTGGAGTCACCAAACCTCTTAATATTCTAACCTTGCCCTGGGCCCCAGCATCAGCCTGAGCACAGGCCCTCTGCCCATCCCTACTTCCCAGCACTTTTCCCAAGGTGGCCAGGCTAGCAGTTTAAATCATCCTCTTCTCAAGCTGGTCATTTGCATTTCTGTGGATCCTCAGGCTAGGCGACAATGATTTCATTCCTTTACTGGAAATCTGAAATTGGGCCATTGCAACTTGGAGGCAAAGGACATTTTTGTAGGAGAGAACTTAATTGGCAAAATAAGCTAGGATTTTGAGGAGAAACAGCAAAATCTTCAAAATCATTTCTGTTGTATCCAAGGGCCAAAACATTGGCGACAAAGTAGAAACCTCAAGAAATTCCCTTCAGACAGTTTCTTGGTGAAAAGAAAGGCCAGTAGATAGAGATGGTGGTAGGGTAGAAGGAAGGTGGTTTTACCAAAAGCCAGATGTTTGGAAGACTTAGGAAAAATCTTTGGAGGAGAGGGTGTAACACATCATGTAAGAGATAAATTATAATCAATAGAGCAAAATCCTGGTAGAGAGAAGATGGCTCATGTTTAGGAGCATAAGTGGAGCATAAGCTTTGAAGAGAAATGTGGACACCCTTTCTCAGCCATGACTGAAGGAGGTGCAGATGTGTGAAAACTAGGACTGGGTTTTAGGAAAGTTAAGTTGAGGAACCTCATGGTGGATCCTTCAGTAGAGTACGAGGCAAGATCATTTGCAGAAGTGGAGGAAAACCACGTAAAGTGGGGGCTTGAGGAAAGCAGACATAGGACAGGTTTGGAAGTGGCCTGGATAATGTTCTTGGATAAGTTCCAGATAATCATCCTCCTGATGAGGAAAGGAATTGAGAATCAGTGAAGACACAGCCAAGTCTGAATAGCATGAACTTTGAGTGGAATGAAGTGATTCTTTAACACTATATAGCAATCCTTAGTAGCGCAAGAGCAAGTTCAAAAGAAACCTTTCAACTAAATAAAAAATAAAAAAATGTTTAGTGGCAACTTATTTCAGAGGACATTATTCATGGTGGATTTTAGAAACATTTTAATTACGACAAACACAAAATCTACAATATCAAAATAGTCATCAGAGAAAAAACACACATACAAAAAGATTATTGGAGTAATAATAAGCTTTTTTTTCTTCTTTCTATGCTAGCCTAAGGCAAGAGAAAAGGAAAGACCCATTTTTTCTTCCCATTAGACACATCTTCCATTCATTTGATGTTATTCAAATTTTTTTTTTAAAAAAAGCAAAATCATTGGTATCTTTTCATTGAACATGTGTCTTATACAACAATTTGTGGTTTACTTTTTCTATTCTATAAACAAAAACACATACTAAAAAGCCAGAAGAAGTTTAAAACAGCCTATTTCCATTATGGCCAGCCATGGCACAGCACTTCCTGGCCCCTGCAGATCCCTTCCCAATTCTGAAAATATTTAGGGGGAACATTCACATGTTCACCTGTTTTTTACTACAAATGTGGAGAGGTTTTTTTTTTTTTCCCCCCCAATCAAGGCACCATATTAACATTTCTTAGGTTACATCTTTGTAATCTTCAAATATAGTAACATAAAAACCGGTAGCAAAGCGTATCACCCAACTTAAAAATCAGAATACTGAGACATATGCAGCTTGCACACACATTAATCTGTTTCTCTCAACAAAATATTTGTAATTTCCAAAATCCTATCAGCTTTTTCACACAATATGGTCCCTCCAATTTGAGGGGCAGTAACATAAACATAGTCTCCTTACTAAAGAGATTAGTCTAAAAAAAGTAAAATCACCAAAAGAAAGAATGTAAGAATATCAGTGGCTATAAGCTAGAGCAATATCATGTTTTAAAGCCTTATATGTTCATGAAATCTCACTTTAAGAAGGTGATATCTAAATACAAAATATATTGACAAAACAATTAGTATTGACAAACTAGCACAAAATGATTTTAAATGAAAGCAGAAGACATTATTAAAGCTCAAGATTTTTGTGTGTACTGATTTCATGCCTCAGGTTATTTCCATATCAAATTTAAAGAGATACTGGAAAATAGAAAACAAAATCCATCAACTGTAATCCATTTCCCTTACTCTTTTGTGAAATCATCGGAAGGCGTGAAGGACCGTTTCTATTTCCTCTATCTTTATCAAGCCTGTAACCTCTCAAGCGAAAGAACATGCACCTGTCAAGCTCATCGTGCAGGATGTACACACAGATGTGTTTAATAAATATCTGCCCACAGGGAGATTAGAGGTTTGCTTTGAGAATCAGGGAACAGGCTAGCTCATGTGTTGACGTTTTGGCATCTATCATACAATCCGCCACCTTGTTTCCTTACCAAAATAACCTCAAAGGAAATCCTCTTTGAGTCTTCTTTGAGAAGGGTTATAAGTTTGAAGACCCAAAACGTTGAGGCAAGATCCACCTCAGGGAAGGGGGAGTGGCTGGGGAGAACAGCGTAAGTAGGATTTAGGTGGCTCAGTGACGTCAGGAGGAAGCAGCGATGGAAGGGATGGGGTGCAGACTCACCTGGAGAAGCAGAAGCTGCACACATGTCAAAGGTCAAAGGGCATAGCCTCAGGGACTCCCCAAACGCAGGAAAAGTGAAACGCCCATTCCTGGGCTCTCACCGTCAGGGGTACGTCTAAGGGCTCAGCTGTTCCTACCTTTGATGCCAGGGACAAACCCTACCAGGCACAGTTCGGGTTGGCAGTAAGGCAAAGGAAAACCTGCCCCAGATTTCAGAGCCAGCGCTGGGGAATCTCCCTGTCCTCTCCGCCACCCCCTCCCGCGCCCGAGACCTGAGACACCTTCAGCCTCACACCCACCTTCTCCAGGCCCTCTTGCGCTGAACGGCATCGGTCTCTATGGCGACCTGAAACCGCAGCTCCCATTGGCCCGTTCAATATGAGGGCCGGGCCAATGGGGAGGGCCAGCCCTCTCCTTCCCGCCAATAGGGTGGCGGGAGCTGGCCCGGGGACGGCGGCGTGCTGACGTTCCCGGGAGCCCGGGGCTGGCCGCGCGGGAGGGCTGGCGGCCGGGCGGGCGGCGGCGGCGGCCTCTGGGCAGTAGAGGGGGCTCCGGGGCTGAGTCCGCGTCGACGCCGGCCGCGGAGGCGGCACCATGGGCAAGGGGTAGAGGGGGCAAGTTGGCCACCGCCGCCGCCGGGGGTGGTGGGAGAGCCGCTCCGGGGGAGGGGGCGGGTGGGGGAGGGAGGGGCGGGCAGCCGCGCGGCCGAGGCACTTTTTTAATTTTTTCGGGTGCCGCAGCGGCAACCCCTCGGCGCCGATGTCCCTGATCCCTGGAGCGACGACGGCCGCAGCCTAAGCTGGAAAGTAAGTGTGTGGGCTCGCGGGAGGGTGCGGAGACTCCTGCCCACGAGACCCTCGGCCCTCGCCCCGAACACGCGCCGGGGCCGGGACCTGCGCACCGGGGGCTGGGGGCCTCCCTCCCGCTGCCCGGTCCCCAGCGCCTGGCGGCCGCCGCGACTTTCCTGCCCCGCCTCGTGTTCCTGCCCGCACTCGCCTGCTGCTCCCCTCCCCCCGGCAGGCGCACAAGTTTCACCCTCCATTTGCTTTTCCCGGCGATTCCTCTCCCTGGTCTCCCGTACGCGCCGCGCACGACCTCTGCCTACGCTGGGCTGTGTGGATCAGGAGCCCCCAGCCCCGAACTTGAGCGCCGCGCTGAGCCTTGCTGGACGCCCTCGCGGCGGCTTCCCCGCTGCCTGCCGCCCCGCGCCCCCCTGCGCCCCCGACACCACAGGACGCCCGCCCTCCTCAGCCCTCGGGGCTGGCTGGCTGTCGTTCCAGCCCTAGATCCTGCACCTTGGCCCCCTCCCCGTCTTCCCACGCCCCTGCTGCTCGCGCGTTCTTGCGTTTGTCCGCGAAGTCCTGCACTCCTTGCCGGTCCTGCCCACCCCCTCTGCCCAGTGCGCCCCTCTCTACTGGCCGCAGATCCTCACGCTCCACCCCTCCCAGCTTCCCAGCCCGGAGCCTCGCCGCTGCCCTCCTGCGCCGCCGCTTCCTCCTCTCCCTGCCAGGAGTTGAAGCGGAGCTGCGGCACCTCCCTGGCGGATCTGGTATCCCCCCCACCGGCTGCTGAGGCTGCCGGCCCTCTCCCCTGGACCGCCACCCGCAGAGCGAGCGGCGGGGCCGGGATTTGGCTGCGTGTTGGCTGAGTGCGACACACCGCGAGCGCGGGCAGTGGAGGCGCCGCGGCGGCCGTGGCCGCTCGGGGCGCAGCGGTAGTCAGGTGTGTGTGTACAGCGGGGGACGCGCGCTGCCGGCTCCTGGGCTGGCGACAGATTGTGCAGGAATGCGAGGAATGCACCAGGGGCAGAGTCCACACAGCCCGCCGCGGCTGCACTAGCGCCTTCCCTCCCCAGCTCTCGCCGCGCAGCCAGAGGTCACCGGAGCATCTTCGGAGCTGGTGAGCCTCATTCCTCTCCTCTTCTCCCATTGCTTCCCTCCATGCGGCAGAGGGGAAGCGCGGTAATTCTTTGGGGCTCCAGCTAGCATTTCGTCTGGGTTTTTGCTGCATTGGTCTTCAGGACCGTGAATTTGGGGCCGATGACTCTGTAGCCAAGGTTATTGATCATTGCACAAGGCTGTTTGCAAGTTTGGTGTGCAAGGTTTGGATAGTGCCTGGTTTTTACCAGGGTTTTCTGAAAACCAGCAGGAACAGGGGACCTGAAGGTGCTTAGAGTAATGAGCTTGGGGCCAACATATTTTAGCTCTATCCAAAAAATGCCTGTTAGTGCTTATGGACGGGCATGTACTGCAAGAGAGATCTTGAATGCATCACTTTGGTATCCGAAGAAGTGTAATTTTTTCCCTCGTCATACTGGGCTGTGTTTAGACCTCGTATAATACATAATGAATAGAAACAGAGAAGCACTGTTTGGTCAGCGATGGGACAGATAGAACTGTCTGGTACAGTTAAATTCGGGGCGTGTCAGTTACCATTGAACTGACACGGGGACACCACAGTCATGTATATTTCAAGATGTTATTTATTAGTGGAGGTCTCAGTTCTTTGTTACTGAGTTTGACTGAAAAAAAAAATGCTGCCCTACAACTTTTAAAGAACGGTAATTATTTACGTGTAAAATCAATGATGGTCAGTATGCATTTTTGGTCAAATTTTGTTTTCCTTAATACGGGAGAGCAAAATTTTGACAGAAAATGGTTCGCGAGAATTGAGCTTAGATTCTTTTTATTTTAAAAGAGAAACTAGAAGAATGCTTGTCTTCTTGAATGCAGTATATTGCTGTGAGAGTATCTTCGTTTTGATGCCTGTAAAACAGTTATGGAAAATGGCAACATGAAAACGAGAACAACTAATATCTGAAATAAGTGTTTCCGGATGTTGAAAAGCATCGTATGTGTGTTTTTATTTGACACAATTTGCTTGGAAGGTTGCATTTGTGATAAACCTCTTTGCACCTGGTTATTTTATGTCAGATTCAGTAAAATAATAAGTCAGTTGTCTGACCAATCAGCTTTCTTCCAACACCTACTTTGTGTAGATCAAGGACATCGAAAACTGTCAGATAGGAGCCTTTAGTTAAGGAAAGGACTCAACAGAAAGGAAAAAAAAATAGAAAAAAAATATTTTGCACTCAGAAAGGTTTATCTTTTGGTTGCTACGTTGTTTTTCAGCTGTGTGCATAATCAGTGAATCTTCTAATTTAGAGGTTTAATTTGTGTCCAGTAACACTATGAAGGATATTGGGAGGTGTTTGTAAATGCTAAAAGGAAACTTTTATTATGTAACAATATCATATTACAGCAGAGTTTAACCCATGCTTAACCCGTGCTTATTTGACTTGATGTCAAGATGAGGAAGTAAAAGCAAATTTAGTTTCCCTGCCACATTAGAAATTGAAAACCCTGTTCAGATGTATGGATCTCACACACGCACACACACACACACACACACACACACAATTGGCTGTGCAAATAGTTTTGCCTGCTTCAGGTAAAGGTAACCTTTCGGTTAGAAATGCTTTCATTTGTTACAGATATTTGAAGAGAGGAAGTTTTTCAACTAGTGATCCTACACAATTGAAAATAACCGAAATCATATTTTGACCAAAGTACATTCCCTCCCCACCCCCTACTATTATGTAAGGAGAGGGTGCTGCATCTGGCGTCTTATATATTATACTGAAGAGTCTAAGTTGGAGAAGTGAAGTATCCAGTTATTTTAATTTTTGCCTGTATTGTTTTTGGAGGGAGGTAAGGGAGCAGAGAGTATTGATGGAAAACAAGGGAAGAAGAAACTAGGGGCAGCTAGTATTCAACCAGAAAGTAAAATTACATACTTTATTGCAACAATAACGCATTTATAAGCTGAATAAATCAAATAGAATTTTGTGACTAGTTCTGACATAATATGAATTTAAAGAAACTACTACCAAATTCAGTTTAATAAAAACTTTAGCACTTGTATGACCTTGAGTATTTGGATTAGGTTTAAATCAGAATCGCAGTTTTCTTCCTTTTCTTGTAAATAGGCAAAGTAAATTTAATGTAAAAATTTGAAACTCACTTTAATTTTTAAAGATGCAATTATTGCCAATTTTTGACCTGAGTAATTTCCATGCTGTTACTCAGGGATCAATTTAAATAATATTCATACCCTGGATGATGCCAACCATCAGGTAAGTCTAGCCTCTTACCTGACTCTTTTGAAATATTAAGGTATTTCAAGAATACTCTGTAATCGAATGTGTTTTTTTTCTATTTCAATTGAGCAGTAATTCCCTACCTTGCTTAATTCTAAAATGAACATCATATCTTCATTCTTAAATGGAAGGTAAAATAGAGGTTATTATAGGGTTATTTTAGGGCATAAATGCCTATGGAATTGCACGTCAGTTTGGGAAGTTTGCCTTCACGCCTTCAAGTGTACAGGGAGATAAGTACTCCTTCAATGTGTGAAATGATTCTGTAGTGCCCATCCTGCACTAAAGGGGAAGAAGAATCTGAAATATAACACCAGTGGACTAGGTATGTTTGGAGAATTAAATAACTGTTTCACAGCCAGACAGTACTACAGACAACTGCAAATAGAGAAAAGAAGGAAAACTTTTAAGATACATGGATGTAAGCTTTCTTTCTTACATCAATGGAAGTGATGATAGCAGTCAGCAGGTCAGTTCGATGCTCGGTGATAAGAAATAACAGGGTTATTTCAGGGTAAGGTAATCAGGCCCTGAGTTGCCAAGAGTGTACTTGCTGGTTTCAGTTCAGAAGCTGCACAACATTCAAATATTTCTTACATTGTCACTTTAATAATTCAGTGGAATTATCTTAATTTAGTGTGCTATGTTACCATTACTAAATTGGGGATGTTACATGATGGTAATCTTCAGTTAAACTCAGGAATGTTGCAGACATTTTCTTCATCATTGACCTGTTGTTTTTTCCTTTTCATAATTCAGATTTATTTGATATACCAATAAATGTTGGCTATATCACTGATCATTTTATTATTCAGAGTCTTGATAACATTATAGTTTATTATGACTCATATATAAAATTGCAGCTGAAAAAATGTCGTTAGGGATTGTATTGTGAGATATTATTACTACTAAATATATAAATTAAAATATAGAAGTGTCTGAGTTATTGTAAGTCATGTGATTGCAAAGCATTTTTCCTGAATGGAATAATGCCTGGTGGTTGGTTGGGTGCCAGTCCAGGTAGCTAGATATAGAATAATACAGTCCTCACAAAATCCAGAACTCACAATGTAGGGTAGGGAGGAAGGGGGCCAGGGGAAGCACCTTTCTTTGACATCCGAGGCATGTTTGACTTCTATAGTTTTCTCTCC